AGGCCTGGGCAGCCCTGCTGGGCGGGGTGGATGTGCCAGCTGCCCTAGGACCCCGCCCCCGGGCAAAGCTCCAGACCCTTCCTATGAAGGAACCAAACTTTTCCTTCCCAAGCTCAGGCCGCCCTGCGACCTGCCCAACTCTGAGGCTCCGTCCCCTTCTCTTCGGGCCATTTTGCGATAACGGCAGGAAGAAGCAAGGGGAACAGACACACCAGTCACAGGGAGAGCTGCGGCCACGGGCGAGCCCCAGTCACACACTCCCCGGCAGGGCGAGCCCCAGTCACACACTCCCCAGCAGCGCCGTGGCCTCGGACACACAGTCTTGCACGTGTGTGCATGAGCACCTATGTGAATGTGCATGTGTGTACAACAAGAAGGCACTGGCCTGAGGGGCATCCTGCGGCAAGGCCACTGGGAGGCCCTGTGTCACCCCCTCTGGCCTCCCTCCTTTACGAGTACTAGAGACTGGAAGGACCCCCGCGCAGATTCGCACTCGGCTCAGCCTCCCCGTCCCTGCCCTTGGCCTCAAGCAGGTGGAGAAGCCCTGTGGCCAGGTGTGAGCAGCTGTCTGCCACCTGTACCCACGACAAGGCCATCTTCCACTCGTCTGGCTCCCCCAATTCAGCCACGTCTAGACCAAGGCCACTGACAGAGGACAGGGTCCATGGGGCCTTCTAATGCCCTGCTGACCCATCCAGCGGCCCCTGGCTCCTGTGAGGCCACTCAGATAAGAGGCCCAGCACATGGAAAGGACAGGTTCACACTGTCCCTGCCCAGCTCACATGTGATGCAGACAGGGGACAAGCTGATCTTTAAACCCAGTGCTGCCTGCTCACACAGGTGCCCAGAAGGGCAGAGAGCTCTGGGGCGGGGCGGGGGGCAGCCTGAGAGGAGTCGCTGGGTGCTGCGTGGGGGGCGGGAGGGAAGGGACGCTGGCCCAGCTGCCAGGGTGCCGCTGACTTCTGAGGCCGTGCTCTGGCCTGAGCCGGCCACACACCCGCAGAGAGCACCATGCAGGGTGCCATGGGGCCTCTGTGGATTTGTAGGTCCCTGAGGGCCACAGAGCACACAGCTCCTATGACTGTCCATCAGGTCATGCCCCAGCCAAGGTGCGGCCTCTGCACCGAGGGTGCCACCTACAGGTAGAAGGGGGCGGTGCAGGAGCCCTGCTGTCCCACGGAAATGCACTGAGCCCTAAGGAGAGCCCCACAGGCAAGCCAGAACCTTCTAGCAGCCACGTTAACAAAAATAAAAACAAGCAGGCAAAATTAACATAAAGTATCAGCCTTTGCCATCAGCGAAAAGAAATTACAAGTGAGCCCTTCTGCATCCTTTTTCTCCACTCGGTCTTTGGAACCTTGAACTTGGCACTTCCAGCACCTCACTCTGGACTGGCCTCATTTCGAGCGCTCAGCAACCACCTGCAGCTCGTGGCTACCGTATGGAACGGGCTGGCTCTAGAGTGGCCAGCGGCAGGGAGGTCTCACCTGCTTTCATGCACACAGAACCCAGGCTCCTGCTCCACCACGTGGTCTCCCCTTGGGTGGCTCATGCACTACCTCACCTGAACGAAGGGTCTTCTCCCTCCATCCTGCACGTAACACAGGCAGACTCACAGCCTTACAAACAAACTAATCAAAAGGTCTGAAATTTAAACACCATCAAGAAAAGATAGGCCAAGCCCCATCCTCTCCACTTAGGGCCGAGTGGCTGGACCCGCAAGGGCGTGAGACAGACATCACCATCATCACCCCACCTTTCCCGAGGGCTTGTCAAGTGCCAGGAATGAGACTAGTACTTACAGGCAGCACCTGCTTAGATATTTAAAATGAGGAAGGATAACCATGAAAGATGCCATAAAACATTGCTCAAGAAAACGGCAGGTTATGAAATAATATAATCCCGTTTTTGTTAAAAAAAAAAAAAAAAGTATATATTAACCACATTTATCTACACAGAGAGGGCAGTCTGGAGGGATGTGGCCGTTGACGGGGTTTATCTCGCCAGGAAATGGGGGTACGGGGAACTCTGAAAGGTGCTGACCCAGGTGGCGTAAGGTGGGATGCAGCCTCCTACAACCCCCTGCACGTCCCCGGGCATCCGCCTGTGTGTGTGGACCGTCTCAGAGACCCAGCCACCTAGCGGCACACTAGGGGCCTGGGGCAAAGTCGGTATGTCCTTGGTTTACAGGTGCACAGCTTGGGCTGGCCGGAAAGACCCCAACTGAGGCGCTGTTTAGTCGGGACAGATGACATGTTTTCTCCCCCAAGAACCCAGAAGAATTTCTGTGAAAATAAACTTCACAGTTCTCACTGTTCACCTCCTTCTATGCCACACCACTGGCTTTTCAACAAAGAAGCATCACTCCTGTGATCCTGGTCAGTGATGCTCACTGAGCAGGTGACAGCTGCCAGGACAGCTGGCTCCTGATGGGACGGCTGACACTGGGGCGGGCCCATGGGCCAGGTGGCACTATGCAGAAGGGCGTCACCCAGAGGGCACCACGTCCCACTGGCCAGCCACAGGGCTGGGCTCTGCAACTTTGGGGAAAAGGTGGGATTAGGGACCTCAGAGCCCCAGGCTGGCATCTTAGACAGACTGTTCCGTTTTGTGAGTGGGGTCCCCCTCACACCCTTGCTGAGGGGACCCAGGAAACCCTCCTTTGAGAGGCTGGGGAAGAAAGAAGATCCCCATTCCAGGTGTGCCAAGGGCTCCACGAGGACCTCTGAACCCTGGGAGGGTCCAGGAGGTGGCTGGAAGGGACCGGGCTTCCTGGCCTCAGACCCCACAGCCCCAAGACTTCCTCACTTACCTCGTGTCCACCTACAGCCCCTAAACCCACAGGTCCCTGAAGTCTCACACAGGAGAGGGGCCCCAGAGTGAGAGTCAGGTCTTCTCATCTAGTTCCCTGATCCTGTCCAAGAAGGTCCCTCAGGACAGACGTAGCACTCCCCTCCCCAAATCCGGTCCCCCCAGCTAACCAGGGTTTAACCACGTCTCTCCGGCACCCGCAAAACTATATTCTCTGAATGGCTGAAACTAAAACCATCTAGAATGAGGCGAGACAACACTCTGATGTCTTAGGTACTCTCAACGGCCGAGTGAGCCCGGTCACCACAAGGCATCTCCACGTGCTGCGAGGGGAGGGCCCAACCCCCAACAGGCGTCCGCCAGAGACGTGGCCCAGACCAGGCTGACCTTTGGCCCATCGAAGAAAACACAAGCTCCTCTGCAGACAGAGGTTCTGTTCCAAAGCATCCCTGACCTGCCCCTGACCATGGGTGGGGCGTCTCTGGGGTCTCTGCCTCTCGAAGAACGGGGAAGGTGGAGCAAAAGGAGGTGGGGATGACCAGGCAGGCTGAGTGCCCACGAGCCACAACCGCTGCCATGCAGCCTAGGCTCCAACGGAGCAAGGCCCGCGTTCGGCGGGCAGCGGCCTGGGACGGCCGCAGTGCATCACACACCTACTCAAACCCATTCTGAAACCTGGGCCCGGTGTCAAAGCTGCTTTACCTGACCACTCTCTGCTACAGAAGGGCAGCCAGGCCCCTCCGAGGACTGTCCCGGGAAAGCCAGTGGGTGCCCACACGCTGCTCTGCCATTTGGGAGGGATAATCCCCTTTATTTCGTACAACAAAACAGAACAAAGACGTGGCCACCCCGGAATCCACGGAGGAAGGCGGGCAGAGGAAGCCGGCCACGCGCGACGCACTCACCTGAACTTCCCGGTCCGCACCTGCAGCGCTCGCATTCCACACCGCTGGGCGCCGCCGACGTCACCCACGATGTCGTCTCCAATCATGACGGCCTGTCCCGCAGTGAGATGCATGCAGAGGTAATGTCAGTTTTCCTCCTGTGCCCCTTCATCTTTTTCGACATAATAAACTGCTTGACTTGAGGTTTAAAACCACCGTCGTACAAATTAAACAAGGTAATAGCATCATCCTATTGATTAAAAGTCAACCCACCTCGAATATATCTCCCAGTGTTCCCATGGGCCGTGGCTCTGAACGGTACATATTTGGGCAATATTAAATCAATCAGCAGGTGTCAAAGCGATATGGTACCACAAGGACATGTGGGAAGGCTGGCACTGTCTTGCGTCTACTTGAACGTGGGCTGAATTTTATCTGTGACTAAACACTCTATAGCCAGGTTATTTTGTCAATCCTTGGTTCTGTGTCAACCAAGTAAATCTTTGGCAAATCTTTCAAGGTCGCAGTTTAACGGGTTTTCCTTTCAACGGTGAAGGTGCTACTATAAAAAATAAAATAATATGCAAACAAATACACACACACACACACACACACACATACACAGGAAATGCACACAGCCTACACGTCATTTTAAAAAGCTACCTCCAGGATTTATTCTCCCACCTGAAACAACTAGAAAATCAGACAAACTATATAAAAACAACAGTTTTCAAGACCATGGACATCAAGCAGGACAATGATTTCTGAGACACAGGAAACAAACAGGTGACCTCTATAACTTCCCCAGCTTACTGCCTTCAGACCTTTCAAGCTGTGGGCGCACAGAGGGAGAACCAGGTGGAACACAGCAGACGCCCCGAGTTGAAGAGACGTTGCTAAGAGCTGGGAGACCGCGGCAGCGAGAATTCCCAAGAAAACAGTATCCAAGAGGAGAGGGCTACCCAGAAAAGAATGGCGGAGCTCGACGGCGGACTCCCCCAGAAATGACGCAGTATTCAGTAGCCGGCCAATCAGTTCAGGCAAGTGAGGAAACCGTCTGGGGCCAGGAAACGAATCTCGCAGGAAAATTACAGAGAGCTGCTCAGACCTCACACAGGGTAGGGAACGTGACTGTTCCCACCAGCCAGGCTGGAAAATCCCGTACTTCGCAGGGCACTGAGAAACGTTCCCAGGAGCGCCTTGCCTCGATGGCTGGGAATCGTTGGCCCTCGGCTACAGCCTGCTCTGGTGCTGCCTCTCAACCTTAAAAGCAAGTTCTGCAAGGATCAACTGCTGCCAAGTAATCTGACTGTATCCCAGAACAAAACGCAAATGCACTTATGGGCATACAAAAATGCCCAGCGTCCCAAAAAGTAAAATGCACAAAGTCTGGTATCCAATAAAAAATAATCAGACATAGAAAGAAGACAAGTATCACACAGAATGAGGAGAAAACTCAATCGAAACTGACCCAGAACTAACACAGATGTGAGAATCAGCAGACAAGGGCATTAAGTCATTATTGTAACCATATTCCATGTGTTTCAAAAGTTAAGTAGAGACATGGGAGGAAAAAGAAAAGACCCAGATCAAGACTCTAGGTAAGAAAACTACGTTGTATAAATTGAAAAATATACTGAATGAGATAAGTGCTGAACGAGATTAGTGTCAGATTAGATGATGCAGAAAAAAAGATTAATGAACTTGAAGACACAGCAATAGATACTACCTAAAATAAACCACAGAGAGAAAAATAATTCCTAAAAAATGCACGGTGCGTCAGAGAACTACGATGAGTGGGCAGGTGCTTGGCTGAGGTGGCCAGGCTGCTTGTCAGCCCTAGCGTGAGATTCCACTTTGCCCTTCTCGAGTTGTCCCGAAATGCTAAGGTCAGCCCGTGAACCATCACGGCGTTCCAACTTAGGGCTCTCTCAGAGGCTGGGGCCTTCTTGCTAGAAGGATCCTTGGAAATGAAACAGGTCTTCCAATGATTACGTGTCATGCCTGGCACCTTCCATGCTTCAGGGGCAAATCAAATTTTGTGTGCGCACACACACACTGAGGCAGCAGAACACTTCTCCCTCAGAGGAGAGATTCTGGGGCTTCCTGGGTGAGGACATTTGTTGATGTGGCACATGCGGATGGAACTGGGACGTCTGTGCCCTTGGAGGCGGCTCTTCCATGGAGCGGCAGCTGTGGTTCTGCAAAACGCACCGATGCCCAGATCCAGGTGGAGCCCCGCAGCCCGAGCGAGGGGCTGGAGGGCAGGGGTGCAGCTGCCTGGAGCGGTGATGCCTGGCGGGGCCAGGTGTGGGCGCCGCATGCCAAACGCCCTCGGGCCCTGGGGAGTTCGCAGATTTACTATCAGTGAAGGGCAATAATCACGCGAGGAGGAGCAATTATTGCCGAATCATTTAGGATTTAAAAAATCATTGGTGAGAAGATAGAGGTCAAGAGGTGCGCTGTCAGGGGAAATAAAAAAACGCTACCTGTCAGGCCCGGCTGCACGAGCCTCCTGCCTGCAACACGGCACGAGGAAGCCGGTCGGAGACAGCGGGGTCGGACTCCCACAGAACCCAGCAGTCGGGTGAGCTGGAGCGGGGCGCCCCAGCCCTTTCGGCAGCTTTTCCGGTTCGGGTTCGAAAAGCAGATGCGTTCGTCCGTCTCGAGCATTTGTCCGCCTGCCATGGTGCGCTCTTCACCATCCTGGTGCCGGGGGAAGAACCCGCTCTGACGGGTGATGATGCCCAGCGCCAAGGAGCTCTCACAAGAAAGCCCGTGTTTCATCAATTTTCTGGTTATCCCAGGACCCTGGCAGGGGAAGCACCCTTCACCCTCTCTCGGGACAGCAAACAGCAGGGCTGTGCTGAAGGAGCAGAGGGCTCGGTCTGAATTTCAGCCCCAAGGGGCACACACCCCCGTGGAAAGGCCTGGAGGTGACACCCCACAATGAGATGAGCCTAGACCTTCAGCTGGAATGCTCAGAGGAACCCAGGTCCCCTCAGACACCTGGAGATTAATTAATCGCTAATTTCCCCCACGGTCTGCTACATGCGTAAAGAACAATATGAACCCAGCAAAACTCAAACAACACTATTTTATAGAGTCAGACAGCAGGTGTTGGTGCGGGGAAATGCACACTTGCAGACAGCTGGCGAGGAGGGTGAAGTGACATCGCCCTCCTAAAACAGAAACAAATGAGCCACGTGCATCACAGCCTGACTGCTGGGGCTTCTAAGCAATAACAAGGAACTGCACAAGGACGCACACACGGGCCTGTCCCCCAGGGTTAGACACAAGAGGGAACCTGTAAGCCACCTCCACCTCCAACGACAGGGGCCTGGCACAGAGCACTGGAATCTGCACGAAGGAATACGACTTCGAACAAGCCCAAAGGAAACGGTTCCCAATACGATATTACGAGGGGGAAATCAGGTTTCACATGGCACATACAGGATTACCCCAATTTTGTGTTAAAAATGTGCATGGAGACACATAAAAAAAATCAGAGAGGTTAAGCATGATTTGTGTTATTCTAGGTGAGTGGAAGGATGACTATTTTTTTCTGGTACTTCTGAAGTTTTCTTATTGCTTTAGTAACATAAGTTATTTTATCATCGGATAAAAAATACTTGTGTTTTGAAGAGAGGAAAATGAAATCTACTAAAAAGGCTCTAGGGGAGAAAAGGTCTCAGGAAAAACGAAGACAAGAGGTTTTAAAGATACCTTATGACTAGGAGACACGACACAAAGGCAACCTCAGAGCTGGAATTTCCTGAAACTGCTCGGGTTCAAACGAGGGTGCAGGAACGACGGGCGCCAGCTCTCCAGGTGCTGCAAGCTGATAATGTCTCCACAAGGCCTCCCCTAACTGGCCCCAGGGACAGAGCACGGCAGGGGGCGGGGCCTGGGCCAGGGGCGGGGCTCAGCCAACAAAGGAGAAGGGATGGACCTTCCCTGACGGACACACCTGAAGAGGCGGAGGCCACGCCCCACCGACAGACCTCACCAGGGGAGCAGACTGTTCCCAGAGCCACACAGCTAAACTTAACGCCCTGAGAATGGGGGTAGCAAACAGATGGGGCGGAGCCCACGCTTTATGCTCAGGCTTCCTTGGGGAACCCCGCAGGCCTCACCCTCATTTCTGATAGGCCGTCCTGAGGGCGCCTACCCTCACCACTCAGGATTGTGTCTAACTTTATATTCTATAGTTTGTATCCCACCAACAATATTTTCATTTTGTAATATTTTTCAAGATAGAAAATGACGTTGTACTACTAAATAGGCCTTTTCAAACTTCATTTACCAAATCTGAAAATTCTGAAATGCCGCCGGCCTCTCCTTGAGAACAGGGTACAGCAGAGGCCAGGAGAGGGCTGGGCCGCAGGCTCGCCCCTCACCAGTGGAGGAATCCTGGGTTTAATGCTAGAATTTTCTGTGAGACCATTCCCCAATGCTGCGGTCCTCAACTGGGGGTCATTTTGCTCCCCGGGGACATCTGGCAATGGCTGGAGACATCTGTGGTTTCACAACTGGGGTAGGGGGCTATCAGCAAGCCTCCTACAGTGCACAGGACAGCCCCCACCACAGAATGATCTGGCCCTAAAATGTCAACAGTGCCAAGGTTGAGAAACAGTCTTAACCTTAAAATGGAAATGCAAGCAACTACGACAAGGGACGGGGCAAGCATTTCATGAGATAAATGGGCACACGACAGAACCAGGGTGTGCCGAGCATGCACGGCGCTCGTGGCCCTTCCCTTCCGAGCCCCGGGCCCCTCTAGGAAATGGGAGCATCCAGCCCCCAAGCAATCTGCTTGGAACAGTCCCCATTTCCACTGAACCCACATAATTTGCAACTGATGGGGCTTTTCGTGAAACTGCCAAAACTTTCACATCATTTGGGCTTTAGTATGAAGCAAAAAAACAAACCAACCCACTGATTCAGAAGCCTCAAACCACGAGAATGAGGTATTTCTAGAAGTAATCTTTAAGGTATGTTATTCTTTGCCTTATTACTGAATCCTAGAAAGGGGCTGCTCACCTCTATGAGGTCTGAATTCCCCATCTAGTAGAATAATACCAGCGATCTGTTATGTCTAGCTATAGAGGAA